TTGTCTTTCTCTGCATTACCCCGCCCCCCCTTCATTATACTGGGCACTCTTATTAATATTACAGTCATTTCCCCCCTCGAGTCATCTTGGGAATGTCATATCTGTGATCCAAGATACTAAGACGAGCCCACGACTTCCTTATCTGGTTCAGCCTACAGTCCTTATCGCCACCAGTTAACTCATGGCACCAAACCCGTTCAAGCAAGAGCCTGGCCAATTATTATACATAATCATTATTAATATATATTTTGTGTGTATAAAAATCACCGTGTTATTATTAATCATTAATAAATGTTTATAAATTATCTGATGCATTTTCATGGTAACAAGCGTTTCCGGTGTTCATACTATTAAGAGTAACTTATTGGTAGTTCAGAGTCAACCTAAGGTGAGATTCACTTTAACCTGTCGCAGTGTTTAAAGGGAGGGCAGCGAGCACTCAATCTCTCACCCAGTCCGAAACATATATATTTTCAACACCACAACGCCAACTCTCACTGTTTCTTGCCATTATTTACACGCTTGTCACTCAGCGTGAGGCGTTTTATCTGCCTAAGAGAGTAGCGGAGACTGGGCAGGATGCGAGGGCCGCACACGACACTTAAGGCAACACACACATCTCTCGCCACCCGCGGGATAACACTGCCTCCGCCGCCCCTACCTCCAGCCCAGCTGCTCCTGCCCGCGCACTGTTGCCACATCACAACCCTCCCTCCCTCACACCTTACCCTAACACAATATTTTATTCTCTATCATACAATTTACCTTTATAAAGTTTGATTAATTGTTAAAAGATATTGATCGCTAGAATTGTTATTGTCGTGCTTTTCAATGAAGATATGCCGACGATGATAAGTTATTGAAGTGGAAGGTTACGGAAACGTTTCTCTGATTTTGGCTGTTCTGGTAATAACGTCCAGCCCAAGGCTAAGACAACATGAGAGAACTGCTGCCGAAAGACTCCTAATGTACTGCCTGTATTCCAGACAGCGGAGATACCCAGCGTTCACTAAACAACACAAATGATGCAGAAGATTAATGGAACATTGTTGACCAGACCACACACTAGAAGTTGAAGGGACGACGACGTTTCGGTCCGTCCTGGACCATTCTCAATCGACTTGAGAATGGTCCAGGACGGACCGAAACGTCGTCGTCCCTTCAACTTCTAGTGTGTGGTCTGGTCAACATACTTCAGCCACGTTATTGTGACTCATCGCCTGCATTAATGGAACACTTCGAGCAGATGAAATTTTCCGGCAGCTTAAACATGAAAGCGATCAGACTGAAGAAATCGGAAATGCCTAACCTGCTGTAGCTCTGTGATAGATGTCAATAATCTCAGGGAAGAGAATTGTGGTCTAACTGCCATTGTTACGGCGTTAAGATTCCTTGAAGCAAACACTAACGGTGCAGTGATCTGCTCTGATTCAAAAGCAGCACTACACAGTCTTACTAAAAATCGGGCAGAAAACTTTGCGATATAGTCGCTGAGCTCAAGAGAGCTGTGAGTATTAATCAATCAGGGAAGAGTCGTCAAATTTCTGTGGATCTCCTCTCATGTTGGAATCTGTGGAAATGAACGAGCAGATGTGCTAGCTGCTGAAGGAGATCATATTGAATACTTTATACCCAAGACTTCTACAAATTAAGAGGTATTATCAGGCAACATCACCGTGACAAGGCAAGTGAGGAAAGGAGGATAGAAAAATAAACCAGTGAATCTGTATGTTGTTACAAGGTGGTTGCAGCTGGCAATCCCTATCATTATGGATGAAGAGGAGGTGACCGTGGGAGGGAATCAATAATAGCAAAAATCAGTCTTGGATAAAAATATCCATGGAGATTCGTGACGGAAACAACAGCTGGGCAGCTGAGTTGCAGAATCTGTGGTGAGTGACAGACACCGCCCTGACCACTACCTGAGAGAATGTGAACATCTAGAGTCATTAGAAATGTGTAGAAGAATAATAAGCCCTACATTGTTCGAGTTAGGAAAATACTATGTCAAAAATATAGATACTGTTCTTAAAAGATTTCCCCATTTTGCACCTGTAAGATAACGTAAGATTTTAAGGGTTGACAAATGTTTATCATACTGTTTGGTAAGCTGTTCACCTAAGACAGTTAAGCAAGTCCCAACTATGTCTAGGTACAAGTGGGCACAGGTGGATGGCACGCGAGGCACTGTGAAGTTAACTACTTCAAGAGATCGAAGAGCCTCGATCACCACAGCTGGATGCCCATCTGAGAGAGCCCCCCGTTACCTAACGCCCCGTAACTCTGCTGCTCTTATTGGTTGCCCAGATGGTATCACAGTGAACCCCCTGGAAGAATGGCAAGCAGTTGGTATGGGAATACACGTGTGTGTCAACCCTGGCTAACACCTACTAACTGGACTTCAGTGTTGCATATCCGGGTGGCGCTGCCACTCACGGGGACCACTACAATTTTGTCCCCATTGCTTCTGAAACACTCGACGCCTGGGTTAAGAGTGCCACCATTTTTTTTTTTAAGGAACTGGGTTCTAGGCTAATTTACCCTTACCGGTACCCTTACTTAAATCTTTGAATATGTTAGATATTAAGCCACTGCATATCCTCTCAAGTGTACTCTATATATTTATAACTCTGAACTGTAATGCCAATCCTGACCTTAAAGGCTTCCTCAAGCAGGTAGAAAGTTGTAACAGAATCCATGGGCACCATACCACAAACAAATATCTATTTGATATTCCAAGAGTGCGACTTAACCAAACTAGAAATGATTTACAAATCAAGGGACCCAGAATGTGGAATGACCTTCCCAATCATGTCAAAGGCTGTACCTCTCTCTACCAGTTTAATAGAAAACTAAGTACTACCTACTATGTACTACTCCATATAACCTACCTTACCTCCCTAAACATCAACCCATGTCTTGTTATTTTCAAACAATACTGTTTGTTGACCAACTTGTATAACTGCTGACTTTCGCCATGGTTTCCCACCCCCCTTTTTTTTTAACTCAATTTATGCTTTGATCCAACATTATGTTCTTAAAAACATAAGAATGGAAGTAACTGCAGAAGGCCTATTGGCCCATACTTCCTCTTGATGCTTCTATATTGGTTCGGGGTCTTCAAGTGGGTAGAATATAGTTGTGCATTAATTGGCTGTTGATTGCTGGACTTGATTGATTGCCAGCAATCAACAGCCAATTAATGCACAACTATATTCTACCCACTTCAAGACCCCCGAACCAGTATAGAAGCATCAAGAGGAAGCATGGGCCAATAGGCCTTCTGCAGTTACTCTACTTCCATTCTTATGTTTTTATACCCATTGATTCGTATTCTATCATGTGCAAGTGTCAAATTTCTCACCCAAAACTTTTGTACCATATCACCTCACCCAAAGCGAGTATAAGTATGGATGTATTTTGTGTGGTTAGGCCACGCTCCTGTGTCAGGTAAGTTACGGGCTCACCATAGCCCGTGCTACTTGGAACTTGTTTCGAGTAGCTGAATCTATAACAACAACAACATGTGTGTTTACATTTACAGTTGTGTGTGTAAACTAAAGTCTTTGAAAATGTAATAAGTTATTACGAAACGCGTGCAGGACACAGACTAGAAATAAAAATGAATTTTGGAGAATTGATTTTTCAATTACCATCGACAGTGAAGAGAAACATAAGAAAGAGAAAATTCGTGTTAGAATTATTAATCTTACCTTTTCGGTCATAGGCATTAGCTGGGGTGAAGACCAGAGACGGTCACTGCTCTGGCTTCTACCTTGAACCCGTTAAGAAGCCCTTGTCTGTCTTACTCACCTCCCGGAACTTTAAACTGTGCCCAACTACATAATAAACTAACACACATTTCCGTTCGCCTCATGCCTATGTTGACTTAGCAGTAAATATGTACATGGGAGTTAGACGGTTGTCATGGGTTGCATCTTGGGAAATGGCAGTAGTTGGCCTAGGTTTACCTCATTAAGCATAAGGCTTCCTGTCCCTGTGTGTGTGCGAGTATACCAACAAACAAGTAATAATAATATACACTCACTCTGTATCTGATCCATCTTCATTCCTTCCGTCGTCCTCGGCCGCCTCCTCCTCCTCTCTAATGTAAAAAATCGATGAACTCCTGCTGCTTTCCTCCATGTTCAGTCCCCGTCGTGTTCTGTACCCTGCCCACCGCCTCACTGCTCACCACCGCCACACTGTTCCCTACCGCACAGCACTTCACCACACTGGTCACCAGGACGATGCTAGCTGTGGCCTCCAGAGTGCCTTGCCCTGAAATGAGATTTACAAGCCTGGTGTTATCACAGCGTCTGTCCATCAGCTGAACTGCGTCATTGGACATGTAAAGGTCGTCTCTACCAACTTGGATCATCTCGTTCAACTATTTTCTTCTCAGCTTTGCACAGTTCGGTGCCGTGAGCACAGTGTAAATACAGGCATCTATGGGGGGCGGTGTGCAGGACAAACATATCAATTGAGACATTAGCTCTCCACATATGTCGGTTGCATAATTTAGAAACTGTACTTGTGGTCGATCTCGAACCCATTGTTGATGTGACGACTTATATTGAATTTTGTAACTAGCTCATCAAGATTGTAACTTGTTTAGCTAAATGAAATGTGGGGTTCAGTCCCTGAGCCCATTATGTGCCTCTGTAACCCTTTCCACTACCGCCCACAAGATGGGTATGGGGTGCATAATAAATGAACTAAACTAAACTATACCTTAATAACATTAATCAGTTCTTTACACACAACAAACTGACATTACGAAATTTTGAAAGTGCAGTACAATTATCGTGTATAATACAACACGCAGGCTTTCCTCGTAACTCTTACCTCTTAGTTCTCAGACTAGTCTGGTACTATGGCTCTGAACCTTCCCATCTTCGTCTTACGCTAGACAAGATATGGACTCCATGCTTGAGTCGTATACTCCAGTATTGGTCTTGCATATGGTATACATGCTTCTAAATGACTCCTCACACAGG